TCTGTTTCATCTATGCTCCAAGACGCACATTCAGAAAATTTACGTAATAATCAATTCAATCCAACTGGGTCATCATGTACTCAAAATCAGTTTCGTCATCAAACAACTGGGAATAATCAGTATAATACACAGTTATCAGTACCATCTAACAATCGATTACTGAATGAATATATGTTTTCTACTAATAATAATTCAACTAGTGAATATTCCAATACAAATTATACAGAACATAATCCCGGTGCTACAAATGTACTTGATAGTAACACTCATCCATTTTACTCATCTCATTTACATCAAACAACAAATATTATGCATAATGCTTTATCTAAATCCATAGAACAATCTCAGTCAAATAGTGCTAGTCAGTTAGTACATTCGATTAATGAAGTATCTAATTTAGCAGCAGCTGAAGCGGCAGCCGCTGCCGCTTATGCATACCATCAATATCAACAACAAGCACAGGTTATAAATCGTCAACATTCAATCATTTCACAACAACCACCAAGTACATATTTAAATTATCAAAATTTATTTAACCAAACTAATCGTTCTTATAGTCATCATTCAGGACAATTAGATGAACAATTATCACAGAGAGGAGATCTAACCCTATATAATAATACAACACATTCAGAAAGACATGATCCAAAAGCTGCTTATTTGGCTGAAACTTATCGAAATGCTCAAATTACACCAGGAAGATTTTTATTTTGATGAATTACACACACATACAATGAAGTGGATAGATACATTCACCATCCAGCTTTTTTATTTCAAAACCGTCTTTCTTTTTTTTAAAAAAGGGAAAGATTATTGTATTATTGATCAAGCCCACAGCATACTGTGAAATCTCGATTTTATACACATACCATCCAATACTATATGGAATACGATGTACACCTATTATTGTTGTGAATAATTTTTCTTTGCAGAAGATTGATTTAATGGTACCTCGCATTATTTGGATTCTTCTTCAAAATTAATGATACATGTAATATACATTATACAGTAATAATAATTACTATTATTTTATACTTAGTAATTTTTAGTTCCTTAAGCTTAAGAATAGGACAATTGAGAAAAACCAAGATCAAGTCAGTCAGTTATCATATTTTATATTTGTAATGTTTATTAAATTATTATATGATAGTGTTTCTGTAATCTTTCTTTTTTCTAATTTCTTATTTGTTTGTATGTTCTTAATTTGTGATTTTCAATTGAAGGATTAATGAATAATTTTGATAAGAAGTAAACTAAATGTTTCACAAATTTAATGATTATGATGAGATGCATTTAAGTGCAATAAAAATAAAATATTCACTTTTACCACTGTGAATTGATGTTGTACTACACTTTATTATTCAAATTTTGATAATGCAATGAATTGGACTATATTTCTCCTTCTAGGCCCATACTTTTCTTTGTAACAATCATGCAAACACACAGACACTCATAATAATAGATAGAAATCATGTCATTACTAATCTTATCCTTCCTTATGTAAAGGATAATTTTGTTTGATTGTCTTCCTTGTTTGTTTCTCTCCAAATTTCTACGCTTGTCTTCTCTCATTTGTTCTATTTCTAAATAACACATGAGTGCTAATATTGCAATCTATGTACCAAATACATCAACGATATAGTGCTTAATATTCTTTCTATAATGATTATTTGTTGTTTTACGAATAAACGTACAAATGTGCAACAAATAACTTGGAACACTCGTTTGTTCACGCTGTAAGATAGATAAATCTGTATAATTTATTCAACATAAAATAGGTCAATTTGCGTTATGATGTTTTCTCAAATTTACTTTTTTTTCTTTAAATGCTCAGTGGTTTATTTACACATGCCTAATAAGTATAACAAGTATCTGCTTTCCCTGAGATGGATATATTTCTATTGTATCATATCATGATCTCTCTCGTTTATATAATGATAACACGAACAGTCTTAATTATTTGATTAATAATTTATAACTATAACTGTTGCATCGTACATATATTTTAATCGCTTTTCTGGAGAAAAGCTGTATGTAAACATTTATCGTTTACTATTTTTAACTGATAGGTTTCCTGCAAATCACATCATTATTCTTACTTTTTTATTTTCTGCCACCACGACTACTATTCATTGATATCATTAGTGACTGTTTCGAAAATCCGAGAACTTTTTACACAACTCTGTTATCAAGGAATAATGCTACTTCCTCATGTTGTATGTACTATACTCAAAATTGATGTGTGTGTTTATACTCTCTTTCTCTCTCTCTCACTTAATGCACACACACACGGCACTTGCATGATAATGTTTATTTTATTTGTGAAATATTATTTCTGTTTTCTTTCTTTTTCACTTGGACCGAACAATGATATTCTCAGTTCTGTTTTATTTCTTTGGAGTGAAATTTCTTAATTTCATTATAATTTTAGACAAACTTTTATTTGGTTTTGCTTAACGAAATGGTTTACTACGAATATTGATGATTATGACACAAGAATGAAATAATGTATTATTATTTCTATAATTTGATATATATATATATATATATATATATATATATACTGAATAAATTTATACATATTATTTGTCCCATTGTACAAAAGTATAAATATTAATAGAAGTTCAAGAAGTAGGAAATCGTTTTTCACAATAACTAGATCCTTGCTCTTCATATTCTTTGCGCGTAACTAAAAAATGATTAAATGAATCTTCATTTTGACAAAACAAAACACCACCTTCCCAAGCGTAGGTTTGAGGACTAATGTTGATGTAGGAAAATGAAAGTACCAAAAAAGAAACAGTTAAATACAGGTAATTATTGTGAAAAAGCAATAAACTTAACTAGTCATAATGTTCATTATTAAAAAAATGTAAACTAGTGCACAAGAATGTTTACTGGGTTATTAGGTATAATTACCAAGGTTTGACTTGATAATTTTGAAATAATTGAGCATTGGGTAGATTGTTATAAATAAATTAATATATTTGTAATATCCCAATGAGTAGAAAAATAGAGTTTCTGGGTTAGGTTCAAAAATTAGTCGTTTTATCTAGTACAAATAAAGCACAGTATATTCACTGAGCCAAACGATACAAAGCTAATTTTCAAGTCTGTTTTGGAAAATAAGTTATGTTGAAACCGAACATACGTTTAAATTTAGTCAAAATATACTAATCCGAAGCGAGAAATCCTTTGTTGATTACCTGACAACTTTTGACGACTAAAAAAATGAAAACAGCAAACCTTGTAGTCGTTATTCAGAATGAATGTTTAGACGAATTTATTTAAAACCACATACAGGGTCAGATCTGAAAAATGTATATAATCATCGTTATCGGCGCATTTCTCATCAGTACAGTGAATGGAAGTTTAAATAATGCAATAAAAGTAAAGAACTGTAGGAAGAAAGAAAAAAGTAACATTGTAAAACAGTGGGTGGACCTAAGACAACGATTAGTTTTGAGCTATATTTCACGGATCCGAATGAGGAAGCTTATATGGCCCAGACTCATAGCAACTTAATGGATTGACGCCAATTTCTGGTTACGTCATCCTAAACTTTCTTTTATCCCGTTCATAAGTTAACTAAAAATAATATGCTGGGGTATAGAAAGACTAGAAATATATAAAACACGTGAAAAACAACCCATTCAACAGAGGTTAATGGTCCCACAACACACAAGTGCTTTAGAGATATATATTACCAAATACCCGGAAATGGCGCCTACTTCCCAAATTTAGTAGTCACGTCTCAGTCGTAAACTAATAAAACAAATAACTACTTCATAACTTGGTTGCTGATTACTAGACGTTCGAGTAACCTTGAACTATAAATGGTTTAAGTTAGAGAGAGATAAGCAAGCGGAGAAGATTTGTAGCTCACTTCTACCCGAAGTTTGTGCTGATGATGTCGTTCAGAAGGACGATGAAAGCTCCACGACCAAACCATCCAGCTCAGAGAACAAAACAACATCAAGATAAGCAAGCGCTTATTGTTTAAACAAACAGTTCGTTAACCAGCAGCCCAGTATAAGTGACGAAGTCTCCGAAGCAAATGAAGCATACTTTGTCAGCATCATTCAATGGGATTATTTTCTAGTTGTTGAGGTTGATTAGAAGATTTTCCAGAAAGTGATGAATGTATAGTAAGTTGAGGGGAAAAAGATATTTCTTTCAAAACCATGTCTTCTGAGAAGTCCAATAAAAAGGAAGACTATACATTCTTAACGAATATCACTCGAAGAAAACACTCCAAATAACAAGTCATAGTCTTTGATACAATCAAAAAGCAGAAGCTTTTACAATTTATCTTAAAAATGAAAGTTAGTAAAAGAAAAGTACAACTTACTTAGGGGGTTTAAAAACATTTACTGGAAGATCGTCAGGTGCTTGAGTACGAATATCTTTTTGTCTGCAATGAAAATTTACAAAAGAATGTAAATCTAGTCGAACTAAGCAAATAAATATACACATACACCATCATTGTTGTAAAGTTATTACTTATTCAAATAAAAACTTAGCAACTTGTTTTTTTTTAAAAATTTACATTCTTATATACCCATAGATATTATTAAATGAACTTTATAACTTCTGTACAATATAAAGCTTCATATGTGATGGCAGTTAATTGTCTATTAGACAGATAAGATAGTTTCAACCCGAATTAAAATATAACTGTAATTAGCTGCTTCAATTATATTCAATCAAAGCAAATGAGTACATGATATTCTAAAAAAAAACTAATTATAATTCTGCTTATATTGAATATCAAAAATCAGATGAATGCAAATTTAAAGGATTAGCTCAAGATTCAAAAATTTCATGCTCTAAAACCAACAACGAAACTAGTAGATAAAAACAAACAAACACGATGTTGAGCAACCGTTCACCAATTGTCTTCAGTGAGTTTCTATCTCACAACAGACGTGGTTGAACTCCACTGGTCACTGCTATTCACTAGAACACCAGGAAATACCTCATGGAGCCAGTCACTTCCAGGTTTTCCATGGTGGTCTAGCTTCGATTGACTCATGATTTCAACTTTATAAAATATATATACATATTTTAATTATTTTCTGAACTGAATTTAAGTAGTAAGAAAGATTTGAATAATTGTTTAGTGTAATTTAGAATAGATCTACAATTAGTATTAACTCTTGAAACAAACATTTAATTTCATAGTTTGAAATTAGAAACACATTACTATTTTATGAAAAGTCTGTCCTGATTTTTATTTGGAAAAAAATTACAATTTGATTATTGTTACTATCAAAATTTCTCAGACAAAAAACACACCTCAATCTGAATGATTGACCTTATTCACATTAATATTAACCTGGTAAAATCAGGTTGTACAAATTATAGAAATGCATGAAATTATTTAGACTAAACAGATTAATAAGATAATAACAAATTAGTATAATGGAGTCGCATCTTAAAATCTGAACTTGATGTAACTTATTTATCAGGTAGAAATTTTGTAAAAAAAAGTTAATAACTACCCAACTACTTAAACAGTTGAGTAGATAAAAAAGGAAATAGAACTTGGGATCTAATGGTAGAAAGCTAAGTGATTTAATCTACTTAACCACTTAGAACCACACCCTTTGTATGTTAAATAATAACACTATACGACATAAATTGTGTGGAGTTGGTTGGGAACTGTAAAAAACTTGATTTAGGTAATTGGTAAAAAGTAACTAAGTCGTGTCCTTATGTGAAAAACGAACAGATAAAACCATTGTATAGATTAATATTGATAACTCCAATACCAGCAATAAAATAGAGGACATGCGAAGAAGGAACATAATTCATTCATTACAGAAAGTAGAGATTGATTATTACAATTCCGTTAACCGCGTGCTTCAGCGAAGTCTCCTAAAACAATTCAATCATACATGTTTGATAGTACTGTATACTAAATTTACATATTCTCTTGAAAGTAAAAATTTGCCAGGCTTTACGTAGTGTATGAGACCATCATTCAACACAGGATTCAACAAATACATTTTAAGAACTTCTTGAAAATAAAATTTTCGATATTTCATCTATAGTGGAATGTTAAGAGAAGAGATGATTAGCTACTAGCTATGCTTCGGTACCTGCATTTCACAACTGCTTTTCTTTTCTAGCGTCGGCTACTCCGAAAAACAAACACAAGTCTTATGAGGAATACTGATTAGTAGAGAACAGAGAAGACTGATTCAACGAAACAGTACATGCATACACTTACAACAACTCGACGAATGGGATGAAAGATTAGCACATCAAAAGAACCGAGGGGTAAATGTGAAGTGGCATGTTTACATCGCGTTGAAAATGCAAGTCAGTCAGTCACAACGTAGGACCTGGTACGTATGTACAAAGAGATGAAATTGTTAGGACAAATCCCAAAATACTAAAGGTAGTAACAGTACCAGTGCTAACAGAAAAGATTAGGCATCGAATACACAATTGAAGAAAATGTAAACCAGTGAAATAAAAAGAATTATGACGAACTCGGAGACTCAGAATCCAGGGGAAGACAGAGGATGGATGCAACTTGGCTACTGCAAACCATTTTGACCCATGTCATTCAAGGTCTCAAAACATTGGTTATGAAAACTACACAGACCACAACAAGGTAGTCTACACCTGTTAATATGGCATAATCCAGCTGTCAGTGACTTCTTCATGGACTGATGAGATGATTTGATTTGAATGTTTATACTAGTTCTATCTCTGTCTACTCCCAACGACACACAACATCGCTCGTCGATGTAAGTGTTGGTTGGGACGTGTGCTACGAGTGCCCAACCACTTCTGTTGATAGAGATTTACTACCTCATCGATTGATTTGTCATCCTTATGTAATACCTTATTGCCAATTTAGGTGTTGCTCACTCGGTGATTCCAAAATACACGATCAATGCTTCGAAAATACTTACGATTGAATACTAGTAACATACGAATATCGTCAATTCTCAATGTCCATGTTTCACGCGCGTAAAGTGGAACGGGGTGAATTACTGTGCAGATGACGTTTCCTTTGGTTGGGAGATGGATACATCTTGTACGCCACAAGAGACACGGGTTGGAAGGAGCCGATTGAGCTTCCTGGATCTGTGCGGAGATTTCATTAGACACCAGACTATCAGGAGTGATGAGATTCATGAGATAAGTTGCGTGGTCGATGAGTTCAACTACTTCTATGCCTTTCAAGAATTCAGGCGCTTATGCAGGCCACTTGTGAAGTAGTATTTGGATTTCGAGAGAGAGAATCGCATCTGAAACATGTTTGTATTGTTGGTTAAGGTGATTGAGCGATTCTATATTTTGTCAGCGTCTTCACGAAGCAGAATTATATCATTTGTGTATTGTAATTCTATTGAATCTTCTAGTGAAATAACAATCCATGAAAAGTCATATGATGAAAGCGTTATCTCTAAAAGCATATTTATGTCATCGTTAAATAAAGGTAGGGAAAGCGAACCACCTTGACGAATACTACCTGAAGTAAACAATTCCAATGAAACCTCGCCACAAGCTGCAACTTGACCATTAGAGTTCAAGTAAGGATCCTGTACAAGGTCAGTGTACTTTTTTGCAGGCCTCTGAGTGATAGACATAACCACAGAACCTCACTATCAGCACAGTCGAACACCGCCTTAAAGTCAAGAAATGGAACTTTAGTCGGATATCGTAAAGTATGTCAATGTTCCGGAACTGAAGGGTGAATATTTAGTCTATGCATCTTTGTCCAGGTCCGAAACCAGCCTGGTTTTCTTGTGTTTATGCCTCACAATCACTAGTTAGACGTCGAAGTATTACTGAGGCCAATATTTTAGATATTATATTAGTGTTATGTGAACCGCTAATTCTCTTTGTGTTTGTATGAGAAATCGAAGTCTTAATCAATTCGTTATAAGAATATAAACAAGTTGACAAGTTTATAAAAAATGAATTCGTGACATATTGAGTGTTCGTAACACGCAACTAATATACAGAAACTCAACATGTAAATACATAGATGATTTAGAAGTATGTTCTTAACGTTTCTAAGATTAATCATCTATTATAATAATCCCCGATAGGATTTATAAAAGATAATGAGGGCTCACTAAATATTAACTTAATGTTGATTTTCAAATTCTAATAGTATATTTAGTTGAAATTATTTTGAGTAGTTAACGTTTGAAATATACAATATGTATAATTGCACATGCGATGAAGCAATAAACAAGTGAGTAGTTCCAAACTAATATTGAAAAAAAGATTAACTAGTAGGAGGAGATTGTCTCATAACTTGAAAATATATGACCGTTTAAAATAATATTTACTATTTTATATACTAAAATATTTTAAATAGATAGGATACATGAGTCTAATAACGGTTTCGATCATACAGGACAGTACTTATCAGTTGAGGAGGGGTGTAAAGAAGAAACATCATTATAAGAATGTCATGGAACTGTATGTAATGCTTTTCGTTCGATTCAAATTTGATTTTCTTCATACATGGATAACAAAGGATAAACTTTAAGAAATTAGGTAGTAAACACCCGTTATTTGTTTTTTTTTGTGTCTCAGCAGTTTACATCTATGACAGTCTTAAGGAATAGAGTTAAAACCCCACAAAGAGAATAGTAGTTTTTATACCATTGGACTTAAGACACCTTCGATCATGATCGGCTCATCATTTAATCACAATTATCATGTGTGTAAATGCCAGCAACTGGTTAGAAAATCCACAACTAATCTTTTAAGAACAGAATAGATTCAATATGATTGGTCACTAATGATGAAGGTAACACTTACTGTCACAGAGTATTCGTGTTGATTATCACTTTGTAATTCACCAGACATCTCATCATCTATCATTATGCCTATTTTATTTGAAACCTTGGTTGGATTTTTATGTTTTATTCGTAAGTATTTGATTGACTTTGCAAAGATATTCGGATTTTGTTATACCACAATCAACTTGATGAACGCAAAATGCAACGCACTGCTTGTTTCATGAAGAATTTTCGGAGAAAGCTTATACGACCTATTTTGGCGCGTAGAGCCAAACGTAATAATACATGTTCGGACTACTTCATCAATCGATTGAAAAGTCACAAGAACTTTTTCTTTTACATAGGATATCAGACAGACTTAGATACAAACACGTATACATACAAAACGTTGTCGGACCTCCCAAAATGATGGACACAAGTGTGCACACCTTGTCTACAACATGAATTATGCATAAACACAGACGTTGTATTGTTTTTAGAATTGATTTAAAATGATAGGTATGAATTAACACACATGTCATAGAGAATACAACAAAATGGATGGATGTATACGTCAAATCATGAAAACCAAAAGAAAAATCACAACAAATATAACCGCGAAAAAATAGACATATCTCATAAATAATAGTTAAGAGATTATGTGCTTGAGAGAAAAGAATTTACTAATTGAAGATTAGACACTAAAGTGTGATTATTAGTGTTTAATTAGTTTTATCAGACTAATAACTGATAAGAAAGGAAATTTATTGGCTACTGCAAGTCATTAGCAGGTGTAATTTGATCTAATACGAGACTCTATAAATGAGCTTCAAAGATTGACTCACATCCCGGTTACATTAAATCACAAAAGAAATATATTTTTATACGTAAAAAAGTACATGTATATGTATTCGGTTATATGCCAGTTTTTGTGTGAGGGCGAGTGATACTGACCTGCTGCTAGGAATAAGTTAGAAGGGTAGTTTCCCAGCAACGAACACAGTGGTTGACATTTTAATGCTGCAAAACCAATGGGCTTCATTGAACTCATTAGTAACAATTATGATCTATCTAAATAATATGAATTTTAGGCATATTATTTCTAAATTCCATATAGCCAGTGCAACACAAGTTATTGTAGAATAGAACATCATCGCTTTATCCACTTAGCTACTGAGTCCAAATAACCACTTACTTGTATTCGATTCACAGAGTGAACAATAAATTTGGGCTGCAGAGTAAGTTAATCTAAGTAAATGGAACCCCATAAAATTTTCCAGTAGCAGTACACTTTTAATATTAAGTTTTGATTAAATATTAAAATTATGCTTATAACACCGTAATAACACTTTAAATGAATTGTGATGAGCGAGAAAACAAATGGGGATAACCAAATATATTGGAATACAAAATTATAGAATCTCTTAGTAAAATCTGAGAACCGTACAGTAATATTTCATTTGCAAAATATCCATCAATTGTCTTCGACTTTGTTGTCCCTTCGTTTCCATATCAATTACTTTCTGTTCTCGTTCTCTTCGACTTTCTCAACCTTCTGTTGCCAGGCATTCCGCTTCCGAGTGGTGATACATACTACTTATAGATGTCGACATCAGTAGCACACATCACAGTGCTAGTTATTTTTTACTTGAAAACTCGTTTGCATGGCTAGTAAAGACCTGTTTATGGATATGACTTTAAGACTGAAAAAGTGTATTTTATGGCATAAGTTATTCAGATTAACAGATATATTTGGCTGAACTCGTCAGAGAATAAATAATTTTTTTCTATTAAAGAGTATTTGCAGTTAATTTTCATATATGAATGAAAGTAAACAGGATCATCATACCTAAAATATCTTTGATTACACTGACTGTAGTGCTTTTCAAGCTTAAATTTAGCATTGTCACAATCTTATTACAAAGAGTAAATAGTTATCTAGTCTGATAAAAAGGCCATCACAAGTATTTAAATATAAGATCGTTTGGCTACTTAATCCGTGATTTAAGTAATTCATCAATATATTTGTAAAAATAATCTATCTGTGAGAACGAATTCATTTAGTGAAGTTAAAATTTCCACCGAAGTTTTAGATCAATGGTTTCTTCAGGCTTTTGACAGTGATAAATTTCATGAGTTTATACAGATACCAACATTAATTTTAGCCTCATATCATATGTACCACGTAGAATGACAAAAAGCCAAATTAATGACAATTTAGTAGAAAATTTACTTGAGTTCGTGTAAAACCTAATAAAGACTTACAATCTTTCTGCAAATCCTGGAAAACATGCGTTGCCACCCATAACCATAAAATTTGCCCAAGCTCCTGGTTTTACTGCAGCCGGCAATCGTTCACTCATCAGGTAATGGATAGCTTCTGTAAGCCCCATTTCTTGATAGCCCACATCAGATGGATGGAAAATCAATTCAGGAACTGTAAATCGCTCATTATTCAAACGTAAAACATATCCTTGCTGTGAAAGGTTGGAAGCCCGTTGTTCTGATTTATCATTACTACTATTTTCAGAAACCACTGTATTTGGATCACGAACATATCCACGGTGTACATCTACATAGTTTGGTAGTACATATTCTCTTAAAATGCTATTTGATTTTTGGTTTGATCTATGTAAAAAAAAGCATAGGTAGACAAAGAAAACTAATAACAAATGTGGCTTGATAGTTCGGTAGCACTCAACAAAAATGGATTGATGTGTAGCTATCTATCTACAGGACAAGGTATTATTATTCAATATAATGGTCAACAGTATTTACAGTCTTTTTTGGTTGCGTATTCTAAAAAGATATTTTTATGGAACATCTTTCATAATTATTTCAAATAAATGTAGGATTTTGTGACTTATGGGATGCTTTGCACGATAAGAAGTATCACTATATTCAATGTTCATATAATAAAACAAAATTAAATGGAAAACGAAATTATGGAATGGATCACACAAACATACAACACTTAAGAAGCGTAAAGTCGGGCAATATTTCTTTTGCCTTTAGTGAGGAAGAAAAAAACAAGATAGATTGAATTCTACTTCGTCATATATATGTGGCAGACTTGAAGATTTGAACCGAAAACCTCAAAATGAAATCAGAGAATTGAGAGATGTTCTCAAATACTAGTACAGTTTAATTGCCTTTTATTCTGTGGTTCATATGGAATAAGTATCTCAGATCTCTCAATAATTCCACCGATAAACAAATAGCTAAAAATGAACACATGTACCAAGTTCGGTTAAAAAAATTCAGTTATGCAAAATCATTTTATCCACTGACAAGTGACTTGTATCGTTTTACAAAAACAAGTTAACGGTTTATGATATTAAATAAATGATTATACCAACAAACGAACAAAATACTCAGAAGATAGTGGTCACTAACCACAGAGAGCTTCACACTGCCTGTGCACAGTGAGTACTGTTGGAATTAGCTGTACACATAGAAACACCGTGTCCCTGAACCTTTTAGTTAATGTTGGAGTGATCATTTTGGAACGAAAATCATGTAGAGATAGTGCACGGTACTAAAAGTACAATAATTAACGAGTAACTAAATCTCCTCTGTTCCTAAAAATATAGCATACAGTACCACGTTACAAACGACAGTATTTTAAAAAGACTCACCGAGAAATCTTCATATCTTGCCAAAAGTCAGTAGATACATAACATACATCTTCTTTGCACTGATTCATTATATATATCTCACTTCGAACATCCAAATGTCTACGGAGAGCAAATTATGGTCATAGTTATAAAACTTACCTATAGGATACAGCCTCAATCAAACGATTTGTAAGAATTTTCCCTCCTACTGTTAGCCTTGAATAGACAATGAAAAACAATTTTTAGAAAGACAATAAAGATCCTCATTGAAAAGGTAAATACCGTATAACAAAATCTTTCATAACAAGTCCATCAGCCATAGGTACAATATGCGTAAATGAGTATCCGGAGTCAATAACTATACAATATCTTGAAAGACGTTGAGCTGATTCACTTCGATATTTGTAAGCGCTGAGAAATGCAGCTAAAAAATCAGTTATATGTATATAATGTTGGATTAGCGCTTACGATTTGTGCGGATCAAACCAGCTACTTGATAATCTTCAAAAAAAATTTCATTCATAGCTTCTTTAGTCGATGAAAAGTTGAAATACGGCTCAGTAACAATAAGGTTATGATCGGATAAGGAATTTTGCTGGAAAAACATAATAAGAGGATAAAAACTACCTACAGAGTTTGTTTTAACTATGCTTTTAAGAGTTGTGTCCAAAATTTGACATTGAACCTCCCAGTTGTTAATGTAGCCCTATAAATAAGAAAAATGTTCTGTATAAGTATATATTTAATGAATGGGGATTCTTCTAAAAAAGATATAGATTACGTCAAATCCTTTATAAATGATAAATATTCTGTGTAGCCTTTGGTAATGATGGAAAACAATGTGTGACTCTTGTAATAATAATAATAATAATAATAATATGGTTTTACAAGGAAGTTGTCTACACCCATAACTACACAGGTGAACGGTGAGAGAACCAAATAGCAATCATAGGGGAACGTAAAGTCGATAAGTCTAATTACACTGGACAATGAACGTGAAAGTTAGTTAAACCGAACATGCATAGTTACGTAAAAACATGGAATTACTTCATAAATAAACACAAACACAACTATGAAAGTCAAATACAGTTATAAATGCATGAGAATTTTACTCATATTTTGTTTATCAAACGATGAAGAAAGTGAAATATCATATTTTGAGCTACAACTGATTTTAACTTTTTAATATATATTATTGCATAGGTATTTTCTAATAAGATAGACTGTTTTCATCAGATATACCTAAAATAACTAGTTATTTAGTGATTTAAATTTCACGTTTATGGATGGTAAATTGTTTAAACGTAAATCAGTCTATCTTATTAGAAAATACCTATGCTTTAACATATATTAAAAAGTTAAAGTCAGTTGTAGCTCAAAATATGACGTAGAACGGTAAAAACTACTGGTAAGAGTTACTTAAGACTCGTTTGATGGAAAACAACAAAAGGTTTATGAACTATCCCTACATCACAAGACCCTATATAAGTGCATTCTATGCATACACGGCGACTGTAAAACTCACATGCAGGATTAAGTGATTCAATACCTGTTAGTATAAACCTACTTTGCAGATACAGATTACTTAGTTGGGGTCCACGTGACTATCGTAAACAATGGTTGGATACTCTGGGTGAGATTTCTCAGAATCGATCACAACGGAGTAGGTGTATACACTCTTTGTCTTCTCTTAAACCGTGAGATTAAAATTGCTTCACATTTATCATTCTTCCTGTAGTATATCCTTATATACAATTTTTCTTTTATATATTATAACCATTATATTAACTACTTCTATGAATCCGGTGTTAATCTTGTTGTGCTAATGAGGTACAGAAACTTGAACCGGTGCACATATGTGCCTGATTCTACGTTGTAGCTGACCGAGTATAAATCTATTATTTGCTTAAAAAGTTTTGGAACTATTAGCCACTTTTTTGGTACTATCACTATTTAATTAGTTGGAACCGGTGTAGAGACTAACAAAATTATGATTTTGTCCAATTTCTCAGACTATATCAGCACAGTGAAATGAAATTATTAAGGCAAACGCCAGAGAATTAGAGGCGGCGGCAATAGAAAAGATTAGACGAATAATATGTTTCAAGAAGAATAAATTGGTGGAATGAAAGGTATAAAATAACTTTTAAAGTTTAAATGAAGACAACGAGTAGGTGCATCTGTGCAACCCCTAATGACCTTGAATCTCTTCACTAAAAATCCCCAACCATTTGTTATGGTGATCACGCGAACCACGGTCGGGTAATCTTCATCCACTAAGATGGCTCAAATTAGTGGTCAATTACTTTATGGGTTGATGCTATCTTGATTTAAGAGTCTCTAGCTTTCTACCAACCCACTCCTACACCGGCTAACATTGCGCACCAAGATAGATGGTAAATCGGCATAGGTAATACATGTACCAACCATCTTAGTCGATAAAGATTTACAACTTCATAAACCGATTTGTTACCTTGCCTTGTACCCTATGCCTTAGACCAACACCATTCATTTAGTCGTCCCACGATATCGAAGTAATGCAGTGGAAACAACAGTAAGTAATAACTTACGAATATCCCCCATTTTTAAAAGCTATGTTACACAGCCATAAAGTAGTACCGAGAGAACTATTGTGCAGTATACACGCCCTTCTGTTTGGCAGACGGGCATCTCGCTCACACCACAAAAGACGTAAGTTGATTAACGTCGATTGGCCTCCGAATCCATGTCAGACATAATTGTTATTGACGTTATGCATCCCAGTGTGTCATAATATAGGCTTAAAACCACATTCGTTGTATAACGGACAGAAACAACATTAGGCTGAACAAATCAAACTAAGTGACGTCTGCTATGGTCCGTGAACGAGTGGTGAAAATAAACGGTTACAACTTCGGGTCTCGAATTCATATGCCTATGGAAAAGCTACTTTTAGACCACTAATTACACAAATAAATGGGAGCACATTGAGCTTAAAAGAGGAAGAAACGGTTATTTAGGAGAGTAAATGAAGCATTTAACCAAGCATTAACGTCACAATATTTACTTTTTTGAATGGCATGACACAAAATAAACTCGACAAATTATTGCATTGTTCAATTTCATTTCCAACGAATGTACGGCCACCAAGCGTTTTCGATTTGAAAATGGAGTTATCAATAATTCTTTTGGAAAATAGGGGCAATTATACGGAAAAAGTAAAAATTACTTAGGATGAGGATCTGTAGAAAATCCGATTTTTAGTGATCCACCACCCATATCGAGTATCAACGTTGGTGATGCCATTATTATAATGAACTAGAACATATATTTAGGGTCATTGCACGAGCTAAAAAGGAATATAGAAGTGGAGAACATAGAAATACAAACTAATATACTACCATTTTAAAGAGAAAAGTGACCAAATTTCACAACATATACACTTCACAAATAAGTTTTATGCAGGCTACATTACTGCTTCTAGGTGGTTTTTAATGTGTTTTGATTTGCGAATTTACATTGCATTGCTTTCTTATTTTCTTTTAGGTCCTGAATACAGTATTATTCCACACATTTGACTACCCTAAAAAGTTGATTCTTTACCAGCTTTATAATTTACGCTTAGTTTATTACTACCAGTGTGAATCATTTTTCATCTCTGCTTTTAGTCAGTTTAGTCTCGCCGTGTTGTAGTAATTTGTGACAAATTCGACAAAAAAATTGTTCCCAGGAACCATGATTTTTAAAACTGACTGAATTAGGTAGCATTTCGGTGAGACCATAATTTATGGACTACCTTCGAACGAATCTTGAGTAACCTTGAAAAACATTAGCAAATCAGGAAGCAGTTAGCATATAGTAAAAATATATCATGTAAAACCAAAGAATTACAGTGGGCACACTTATACAAGGTTCGAAAGGTTCAGACGTTCTAAAATCGTAATGCAAACGGTAGAGGAACTCATCCATATGGCTCCATAATAGTCGTCCTCTGGAACCGTGATAAGGTAGCAAAAAATCTTTCAGCCTCGATCACGTAGATTTAATATTGTTTGAGTGCACCCCAGTTGTGGAAGCTTATCATTTTTTATTACGCATATATCCTTACAATACTTATACCACTGAACAATAAAAGCTTCAATGGTATCTGCGAATGTTGCAGCAAATTTTACTGGTGCTTTTATTATATGGTTCGCAACAAATATCATAAGTTAACTTGGTCTCAATCTGGATCGAGCAAAAGTCGTTCCTACTTTAGCAGGCTTCTTCCTCCAACATATATCACGTCGAAAGACGTCATCACGGTAGTATGCACAAGGTCCACAAATAGTTTGTTTACCACAATTTTAAATAAAAGAACTTCCTGGTAGTCCCATTTCTTGTAGCCGCTCGATTATTTCGTCTTCCTTAAAATCCTCTGTGAACAGATCGTACGTGAGCATCAAGTACTGAGATTGGCGCAGTGACCTTGGAATTCCTCACACGCTTCTGATTGGCTCGTCCATAAATTATAGTCTCGCCCTTTTTAAATGTGCCAAGTTAAAAGTTAATCACATATAAGGGTAAGGCCAGACAAGTCTCCAAACCCAAATCTTGTTAACATCAAAAGCTAACGGATATCTACGAACTTTTGACAAGCCAGTTATAATTAGTACCTGAGAATTGCTAGGTTATAGAAAGTTGCTTCACATACCAACCTAGTCTACCAATCTCGAGGAAAATTTTTATTAGTTTTGGGGAATCTTCAAAGGAAAGCTTCGGGAAAATGCGACAAAAACTCCGAAAATTCTGCTGAACTGGGGTTTTCCCCCTCAAAATTTTAAGTTATATTGGGGAGATCCCAAAAACGGTTGTTGAAATTTCGGTTTTTCCGATATTTCACTAGAGTTTGCGGAAACCTGTGAATTTTTATATGACTTAGAGAAAAACCCCGAAATACGGAGATTAGGAAGTTCCAATTTTGAATGATCAGTGTTTACTCAATCTCCTGACCTGTGGAATGGCCACTAGCCATAGCCCTGACTGTCTTGGGGAGTAAGGTAAGTATTGACGCAGAAAGCAATGGTGATAAACACTACCTTGTGGTGTAGGAGTATTTCGTATAAATTTTGAAAATTCGGGTTAGTAAATGGATACTAAGATGATTTAGAAGAGATAATTCAAGCACGATACTGACTATGAAGCGTTCTGTGGTGGTAATCATTCATCCAATTAATACAATTTTGGAAACGTTTATATATCAGGTGTTAATTACATGTTTTACGCCAGCTTTTCGAAAAACCTCCAAGTGACAGGAACATATCGTTATAAGACTGAACGGTATGTTGTGTTATGAAGTTTTCTTCATCACAAAAACATTTTCTATTAGGATGAACTGATATTTTGAGGAAATGTGCGGACTCACTCTTCAAACACATGACAAAGTAACGTAATCTTCATGTTGACTGCAGCACTTTCAAGGTCCAACTTCCATGAGCTCGTTTGTTGTTTCGGTAATGTTCCAGGTATTTGGTTTTGTCCGGTGAATAGTAATCTAGCGAACCAACTGCATTAATTCTTGTCAGTTTGGTAGCTGTTTTTATTTTGTATGTCCTGTATTTTGACTGAGTGCGTTTACCTCAGGAGGGTAGTGATTCGAAATACGAGTAATTCAAATGTTTCAAACGGTTGTGGATGGAATAGAAAAAGTTTTTGCTAAACGGGCTTCCGTGTCTATTAGCAGTGGATCACTAATACATCCAGGCAAGAACCTAGGTATATTAACGATAATGTAGGAAAAAAAGAAATTGGTAAATCATAATAATATGTAATCACAGTAGCTATCAAATTACCAGGCAAGTTCTCTGTCGATTGCAACGTAAAAAATAATGAAATCGAAATTCGAACACTAAGAATATGTGATTTTTTCAATAAATAAGTAGGTAACTAAATAGGTCGATTAATTGGTCTTGAGAACAGTGAAAGAAGACCGAAGTGTATGAATAAAATGTTGATGATAATATAGGAGACAGGAAGTAGTTGCTGGTATGTGACAGTGATGAAAGCGGTAAATTGAGACATGTAACAGGTATATCTGGTCTAGAAAAGTGTCAGTAACCTATGGATGAGTATGTAATTGTCAAGTCTCTTTTTAAAGCTGTCGACTGAGGAGGCTGTGGTTACTTCGACTTGGAGAGCATTTCAAGTAGGGGAAGCTCTAAGTGAAAGAGAGTGTGAGCGTACCTGAGATTTTGTCTTTTTATGTGTAGTTCCCCATGGATTGCTTCGAGGGGCGTGATGATTATGTTCTGGTAGCATGTTTGTGTTGGTGTTACGTGGAGGACTTAATATTATGAATACAATTATAGAACCACCTCTCATTCTCCTATAGCTCAGCGAGATTAGGGCCGTGGGTACGTTTTGAACAGTCTTGAGAGTAACTCTGGGGTTATTGTGTCTTCGCATAAGATGGAGAGTTACGTTTACCTCTGCTGCATCCTGACATCACGTTCTGAGGTGACAATCGATAACGTATTCCCACGGCGGAAGTAAAATCCCTGTGTCAAAGGGGGCGAAATGTTCATAGCATGACATTTCGACAGACTAAGATTTGACCATTTAAACGTTTAGCAAAAGGATCTCTTTTTAATAAATTTATTATCAAGCTGCACAATTTTTCATATATGTGCGATTGTACACTTACTTGCTTACTTACGCCTGTTACTCCCAATGGAGCATAGGCCGGCGACCAGCTTTCTCCAACCCACTCTGTCCTGGGCTTCCTTTTCTAGTTCTATCCAGTTCTTGTTCATTCTTCTCATATCTGTCTCTATTTCTCGGCGTAATGTGTTCTTTGGTCTTCCTCTCCTCCTTTGGCCTTCAGGATTCCATGTGAGGGCTTGTCTTGTGACGCAATCGGGTGATTTCCTCAAAGTGTGCCCAATCCACTTCCAGCGCTTCCTCCTGATTTCTTCACCCACTGGATGGAATCTGGTATGTTCTCTCCCACAGTAACTTATTGCTGATAGTGTCTGGCCATCGAATCCGAAGTATCTTGCGTAGACAGCTGTTGATGAACACTTGTATCTTCTGGATAATGGCTTTCGTAGTCCTCCACGTCTCCGCCCCATACAGTAGAACTGTCTTGACATTTTTATTGAAAATTCCAACTTTGGTGTTGGTTGACAATTGTTTTGAGCTCCAGATGTTCTTCAGTTGTAGGTATGCTGCTCTTGCTTTGCTGATCCGCGCCCTCACATCTTCATCTGATCCACCGTGTTCATCAATGATGCTGCCCAGATATGTAAAGGTTTCCACATCCTCCAAAGCTTCCCCGTCAAGTGTGATTTGATTGGTGCATATTGTATTGTATCGGAGAATCTTGCTTTTCTCTTTGTTTATATTGAGACCTACTGCTGCTGAGGCTGCTGCTACACTGGTCGTTTTCTCCTGCATTTGTTGTTGCGTTTGTGATAGAAGAGTCAGATCATCCGCGAAGTCTAAATCGTCAAGCTGCATCCTGCCTGTCCACTGTATCCCGTGCTTTCCTCCAGATGTTGACGTCTTCATGATCCAGTCGATCAGCTTGATACTAGATCCGTTGAAAAGAGATCCCTTTCTCTGAATCTCGTGTTTTTTAATGTTTGAATAAGAATAATGTGTTAATCAAAGAAATGCGAGGATCGTATGACGATGGATTTTGATGTTACACCGTCAAAATTGCGTTAGTGAAGTATGAGGTTCACTTTTTTGAAAGATGTATTGGAAGTAATGATCATCCAAAACGTTTCTGTAAGGCATTAAAGCGAAACCATATTCATCCCAATGGAAAAACACCCGAAAGTAGGGCAATAAATAAATTTCGACTAAATTAACTAGAATGCGATATATCTCTGAAAAGTAATTTATTGTGTTAACTGTCGTTAGATGAAGGAAAACAGTTTTGAGGATTATGATACTAATGTTACTAAAAAACAATCACAAAAAGGTAGACGTAAACACTTGGAAATATTGCGATACTTAGACATAACTAGGAAGTTTCCATAACATCCCGAAGTGTGTGTATTTATTAACTCTTCTGTCATACTTTTGTCAATTCATATTGAGGCCTTATCATTAGATCTCAAATTCTATAATAGCATCTCAATAACCGGTAAACCTCATTAGCGAATGCAATTCAAAAATCTTGCAAATTAAACTCATCATCTTGCGCTAATATCCCCATAAGGTCCTATGATAATCAGAAGTATTTGAATTGTAGTATAAACTAGTAATCCCAGGAATAACGCAATTTAATCAAGAAGTACAAGAGTAGCACAAACGAATGTATTGTATTTGGAATTCAAAATTACAACAGTCATCAATACGAAGAAGTCATTGATTTGTTTAAACATCACAGGTCCTCGGCATTTTAAATCCGCATTACTGGACTGCTGTCATGAATACATCAACACAGAAGCAAGTAAGAACAACTTATTAACCAAGAATCATATGGATCAACTAATGCTTCTTAAAAGAATTAAGGATTTGATCCTAAGTAAAGCTGACAAAGGAGCTGGTGTAGTACTCTTTGATTGTCGAAAATGTTTGGACAAAATGAGGTTGATCATAGAGGATGATACTAAATTTTCCAAACATAGAGGAGAAGTAGACAAAATACTGCAGATTGAGAAACGGCTAACTGATATTGTTACAAACCTAGAAAACAAAGGGATAATAACCCCAGATTTATATGATCATATACGTCCGATAGGTTCGATCATCCTACTCTAGTATTGATTACCGTAAGTACATAAACCTGGTTCACAGTCACGACCTATTTTGGGTATGCCAAATTCACTATACCACCGAATCGCCCAATGGTTGTCTGAAAAGTTGGAAGCAGTTAGAATACAAGTATCTCAATATTCTGTTCATCATACTTTTCAATTTATTGGTAGTATTAAGGAAACTAGTACTTACGAAACACTCATGTATAGGCAAAGAGGTGTGGTCGCAACGGGGTCTCCATTGGATTCAGTCTTAGCAGACTGTCATTTAGCATAACTGGAAGGCGATCGACTTAGTTCGATTATCAATCTATTTAATCTATATGCAAGATATATGGAGGACATATTTGTCATTTGTGACGACAAAATGGAATCAGCTGATATTTTACACTCCTTCAACATATGCCACTTTTTCATAAACTTCGTGTTAAAAATGTGCTAGGACAGTCAGTTTCTTTTCTCGGTAGAAAACATTTCAATACGACGCAGATTTTACCTTACTGATGTGACTCTAGGCTTTGATTTACTGTGATACAGTTATAGGATATTCTATTGTCAGTGTAGATAAAAATTCAATCCAATGGGTACTCCGTGTTGCGCATCTCTTACGATTAGTAGTCACCTTGCATTTTGTACACTACTATACACCAGTCTATGATCTCAAATATAATTTCGAACCTCATATTCTACTTCTGGTTCATTAGCTTTGAGATCATTGTGTAAGAAAAGATTTTGGATAGAGGTATTAACAAATTCAACGTATCACTTATCCTCTAAACATTCAAATGACTAACTCAACCAAGTAACGGAGCTCTGAGCATCTATCAAAAGTTACGTTTCACATCATGTAGTCAATGACACATTTCCTCTCAGGTACTGAAGAACTTTCGATCTATTGACTAAACTGTTAACTAATTTCTGCAACCAAAACTATTCAATAAGATCGCGATATCTGAACACAACGAGAGTCGCTAAAGTATGAATCAAAAATAGGTGGAACTGTATACTGCTAGATTATATTTAAAATAGGAATAAATAATACTGGTGCATAACAACTGAAACTGCAATTTATTACAGTTGTACAACTTAATACCTACTTCATGAAATCGTAGATTCTATTTCATAACGAACAAGGCTATGTGAATCGTTAGTTTGATCTTCTGGTAATTTCATTATCTAGTCAGTCTTATTCAATAAGAACACATTATTTTGAATTTCGTGTCACCCGCTACTGAAATTTGTCTCTAATTATCTTCTGGAAAATTAAATAAATGAAGTCTTTGTTTTTTACGTCCTAACTTTATTTTCACACTACTTACCCTTTAATGTTTAAAATAGTCAGAGGTACTGTTCAGAAAACTAGCAGAATAATATTTTTTGTCGACAACCTACAACCATCTAAAATTTCAATATAGCATACAGGGTTTTGAATCACTTAGACTGGTGGACACAGCAGTCTGATCGACATATTTCTAATAAGCACTAAAGAACTAGACAAAGATTGCAATGATCACTACTAAGTGGTCAATCGATCGTAAATTTTTTACGTATCACTCTTGTTATATTTTAGTGAAGTTTAAATTACGGGTAACTTCTGAGAGCTATCAATGGACTAATATTCTATAAATATTCTTATTGCATAACTATTCAGTAATTAGATTGTGTGTATCTATATTTATCTTATTATAAGGTTCATTTTGACCTATAGAATATTAGTCCATTAATAGATCTCAGAAGTTACCCGTAATTTAACCTTCACTAAAATATAACAACTCTCTAGTACTCATTAATATGAATTATGAGTCACTATGGATTATAATTCTGTTTCAACAAGCCATTTATTTCATATGTTCTTATTCTCCTCTTGATGTTCCAGTAAGTTCTTCTCTAGTTATAATAGTACCTTTCCATCATTGAATCATTTAGTTAAGATTAGGAACTAGTTGAATAT